TGGAAACTAACAATCTTCTGTTGAATGATTATAGGGTTAAGAAGGGAATTAAGATGGAAATCAAAAGATTCTTTGAACTAAATGATAAAGGAGACACAAGTTATCAAAATCTGTGGGGCACAGCTAAAGCAGTCCTGATAGGAAAATTTATATCCATAAATATCTACATCCAAAAATCAAAAAGACCACAAATCAACAATTTAATGAATTGTCCAAAAGAACTGGAAAAGGTTAAGCAACTTCTACTACAAATCCAGTAGTAGAAAAGAAATAACAAAGATCAGAGCAGAACTAAATGAAGTCAATAACAAAAAAAACCTATACGGAAGATTATTAAAACAAAAAGTTGGGTCTTTGCAAAAATACACAAAATGACACACCTCTTGCTAGAATAATAAGAAGTAGAAAACAAAAGTCTCTAATAAGCTCCATCAGGAATGAAAAAGGAGAAATTACAACTGATACCACGGAAATACAAAATATCACCTATGAATATTATAAAAATTTCTATGTACATAAACTTGAAAACGTGGAGGAAATGGACACATTTTTAAAAACACATAGCCTTCCTAGGCTAAATCAGGAAGAAACAGAATTCCTGAATAGACCAATATCAAGAACCAAAATTGAAGCAGCAATAAAAAACCTTCCCAAAAAGAAAAGTCCCAGACCAGCTGATTTCACACCTGAATTTTACCAGACCAGACCTACAAAGAAGAACTGGTGCCTTTCCTGCAGAAATTATTCCACAACATTGAGAAGGAAGGAATCCTCCCCAACATGTTTTATGAAGCCGGTGTCACCCTGACACCAAAACGAGGAAAGGACGGAACAAAAAAAGAAAACTACAGACCAATATAGATGCAACAATTCTAAAGAAAATCTTAACAAACTGAATTCATGTGCTTATCAAAAAAATAATCCTTCAGGACCAAGTGGTCTTCATCCCAGAGATGCAGGAGGGATGGTTCAACATATGCAAATCTATAAATGTAATTCACCACATAAATAGAAGCAAAAATCAAATACCATGTGATCCTCTCAATAGATGCAGAAAAAGCATTCCACAAAATTTAGCACCCTTTCATGAAAAGAACACTTAACAAAATAGGAATAGACAGGATTTACCTAAAAATGATGAGCGCCATATATGACAAACCCACAGCTGACATCATACTGAATGGAGAAAAATTGAAAGTATTCCCGCTTAAAACTGGAACCAGAGAAGGTTGCCCTCTATCACCACTTCTAGTCAACATAGGGCTGAAAGTCCTAGCCAGAGCAATCAGAAAAGAGAAGGAAATATCAAGGGCATCCAAATGGGGGCAGAAGAAGTCAAACGATCACTCTTTGCTGATGATATGATCTTATATCTAGAAAACCCCAAATATTCTGTCAATAGACTATTGGAATTGATAAATAAATTCAGCAAAGTCTCAGGTTACAAAATCAATGTACAGTTATTAGTAGCATTCCTATATGCCAACAACAGTCAAACTGGGAGCCAAATAAAAGACTCAACACCCTGTGCAATAGCAACAAAGAAAATAAAATACCTAGGAATATATTTAACTAAGGAGGTAAGGGATCTCTACAGGGAGAAATACAAAACACTGAGGAAGGAAATAGCAGAGGACATAAATAGGTGGAAATGCAATAAAAATAATAGTTTTAACTATGAATGTTGTAATTTCATTAATTTTATGAATATAATGTTATGATATTTAGTAAAATGGATTGAGAAAGTAAAATAGTAGAGACAGGAGACCAGTTGTGTAGCTGTTTTGGGATGCAGGGAAGAGATAATGGTGACCTGGATGAAGCAGTAACACATGATACAAAAGAAGGGCATGGAATCCAGAGATATTTTGAAGATACATTTAATAATTCATGCTCAGATTTATGTGAGGGAATAAGGAGATGTTGAGTGAAAGGGAGAGAAAATAAGAAATATTAATCCCTGAGATTTCTAAGCAAGCGTTGACAAGAAGGAGTAGTAAAAGGTTTGTTCAAAGAAAGAACTGTGGGTTCCATTTTCATTACATTAAATATAAAATGTCTGTGAAACATGGAAGTGGCAATAACAAGCATCTGTTGGAAATGTGAGGCTGAAGTTCAAGAAATGTTCTGCATTGGAGACACAGATCTTTATGCAAAAGGATTACTTTTAAGTTCATAGAAATGATGGAAATCCCAGGAGAAGAGAAGATTAAGAAAAGACTTACATGCAAGTGAGGTCTTAGGTCAAACAGAAGATGATTCAGTAAAACTACAATCTGAAAAAGAATAATCAGTGAGACAGAAGGAAACCAGGAGAGTAGATTCACAGTGGCCAAAGGAAGAGAGGAGAACAGAATGGCCCAACTTCCTGAATACTACTGAGAAGTAGAGTAAGATGAGAATAGAGAAGTATATTGGACTGGTAACATATATGTCATTAATGATTTTGACAAGAACAGATTCAATGAAGTGCTGATGATGGAAACTGGAGGGTAGAAAGATTAAAAATAACTGAAATTGAGCATGTGGAGACTGTGTGAAGAAAACATAGATGTTTGACTAGAAAAGGAAGCAAAAAAAAAATGACCTAAATCTAGAAAAATATATGGAGGATCATGCATTTTTTAGTTGGAAAACTGTCATACAAGTAATATGAGGGGACTAATACAGCAGTAAAGGGAAGATTACTAAATCAAAAGAGGGAGGATAATTTAGGAAATAAAATCCTCAAAAAGGTAAAAATGGGATGGTATCATTAACACAAGTGGAAAAAATGGCTTTTGGTAGAATGAGGTATAATTTCTTCATCAAGCCAGGAGGAAAGAAGAAAATGTGAGGGGAAAATGCAGGACAGTTCTCCAGGTGGCCAGGGACTGACTCAGTTCTTCACTCTTTCTTACCTGTAGTTCTCAAGAATAAGTGTAGAATGTGCTTAGAATCCAACATCCTGAGATAAGGAGAAACTGGCGAAAACAGCCCAGGCTCTGCTACTATTCCTCCTAGAACAGGATGTTTTTCATTGCTTTAGTCTAGCTCATCGTGTGACCCCCCAGTAATAAAACCCAGGGCAGACTGCTTTCTCAGGTCCCTTGTCTACAGTGCAAAGGGGGCACATTCATGATATGTCTCGCTTATCATGAATCCTAGGCTTCTTTTGTCCTTTGATGCCTATCTGTAAGCAATAAACCTGCTTCATGCAACTTCTTTTCTGTGTGTGTTTTGTCTCACTGGACTTATACAAGTAGTAGATTGCAGCCCAAGATGAGTGAGTGGAAGTGGTAACCAATGCACAGTGAATCTGCTTCACAACAGGGATAGATAAGTTTATAGGTGAAAGGAAGAAAAAAATTCTGAGTTATGGTTTCTAGTTCTCATTTGAGCAGAAGAAAAACAACTGAGAGTTATAAGACCTAGGAGGAAGCCCAAACAAATTCTATAAAGTCAAGACCACAGAGAATGAACAGCTAGAGGATTAGGAAAAAACCGGACCACATGGTGTCATGAAAGCTCTAAATAACAATCCATAGTAGAGGTTATGATCAGAAACGTATAGCCATACAACTAGAAGTCAAAGTCATTAGAAAAAAAATGGGAAAGAGGAAAGAATAAAGAGAAAATGTAATTAAGTGCAATTAAGAACTGTAGATTGTATAAATTAGGTCTCTTCTATTTTTCAACTCCATTAACGACAAAGTATTTTCACGTTGTGAAAGCATACAAATGCACTCATTTGCATAGGAATCAACATTAAATCAGCTATCCCTAATTAATTGGTCAAATACCCTATGGAAGACTGACAAAATTTAGAGATACATAGCTGAGTAAATGGTGTTAATGATGACATACATATTTGTTAAGATGCTTTTCTGAGTTCTTAGAAATTCCTATGAAAAATATGTTAAAGTGAGTCTTCTAAAACATACAACATGTTGATAGTAATTATCTTATAATTATGTAATTATAAATGATTATGCTTTTCTGAGTTTTTCAAGTTGATTACTTATTATAGCTTTTACTAAAAATTAATTAAGAATTTATATATAAGAAAAGAAACACACGTGGTTATTGTTTTGAGTATATGTATTTAATTTGAATTTTACAATTTAGATTCAACATGAATTGCAATAAATGGATCTTCGGCAGAGTTACTAATAGAAAAATTAGCCTTGCCATCATTGGAAACATAGATATTAATTCCTGTGCAATTGCCGTCAATTTTATCTCCAGAAATGATATCACAATATGTGCCAGCAGGAAGACCAGTTTGCAAAGTTAAAGATAAGGACCTGTAAAATAAAATGTAAGATTTAACTTAAATTCAACACAATGAAGAGCAAGAAAGTAAATAAAGTATACTAAAGAACCAGATAGAGGAGTAGTTGAGGAAAAGATCTACTATAAAGAAAAGATATTACAGTATTGAGACAATATGGTTAAAAAAATAGGACTATAAGACATGCTCCTTTAATGATGTCACAATCCTTATTAACTACTTTGTGTATTTTGTGGGGTTTATATGTGTGAGCATATATATGTGCATTATATATATGCATATGATGTTGCAAGGGCACACAAAACAAACTCTACTTACAACAGAAAGCCCTTATAAAAATAGGAGAACAAAAGAATAAGAGCCATCATCATTTTTCTTCTGCCCTTTTCTGATCTCTCTGGTCTTCTTATTCACTGATGAAAGGATTTTCAGATACAAAAAAAGTAAATGAACAGAAAAGAAAAGAATAAACTAAGAACATAGAGCATAAACATTATTTTTAATGGATACCTACTCACCAGTCATCATGTTAATACAATGAAGCCTCTGTTTCTCTTCCAAAAGCAACTGGTTGCTACCATTATCCACCAGTTTGTAAAAGGCTGGCATCACTACATTACGGAAAACAACCATTTCCTAAACACACATATCATAAAAAAATATTCATTTTTCAACTTCAACAGTTAGAAATAAAATGTTAAAGAAAGTTTACTATTAGAGGATATTCTAAATGATATTCTTACCTTATTTGACGCCATCGATGTTCACAGCCCAGTCATTGCCACAAGTGTGTCCGGATTAATAGTAACTTCTTTAATCACTCCATTATTATTTGGTGCCCAACCAATCATTAACATCCTTAATGAGGAGAAGAGAAACACTCGTGTTTTAACGTATATGTATTGGCCTCTTCCTTCTCCATTACACCAAAGCCAGTCTATCCTGATACTTGAGTCTGGGCAGTGTCTTTATTTAGAATCTAACACTTTCCTTATTTTTACAGCCTTTTACTGAGTCTTCATCATCTCTCTATCTCTGGTTCTTTAGTGCCACATTTAACAGACTAACAACTTTTATCCTCTTGTTTCTTCTGAGGAACTGCAATGTCTTCTAAAATCACTGTAAGCTGTGCAATCTCCTTGAAATGGCAAGCTTTAGTGTCAGAAACACAGGACTAAAACATAATCTCCATCACCATACCGACTGAGAAAAATTCTCAGTTGCTGCTTATCTATAAAATGGGATATTGCTTGGTTGCTAAAATTAATAATGTATGGGAAAATGCCTTGAATATGATCATGGTTAAATAAATATTAGTTCCTTTCATACTTCCTTTTGGATAAACGTACTAATTCGCCCATCCTAACGTTTTTTACAAAACTGACCAAATTTTTAATAGCATTTAATACTATTTTTCCAATGGGCATTTTTAAAGATATTCACAGGAAAAAAAAAAGGTCTAGGAGCATTATCAGCACCAGTCTTAAAATCATTCTTTTGCTGAATAGTGAACAAAACCAAGAGTTTAGCATGCAGAAGTCTCAGTGGAAATGTCATAGGAAAAAGGGAAAACAAAATAGGTCAGGATTCCTGACATCAAAAATAAGACCTATTAGTGGAAACTATATGAAGTTGGCTCAATATAAAGGGGCATGTCCTAAACATTAAATTTGTCTAAAAGTAAAATATATTCTACAAAGTAGTAAGCTTCACAAATTCAAAGGAATCTAGAAAAAAACAGATAGATATTGCTCTGACTTGTAGGGATGGGAAATTTCTTCTTTAGGTGTAAAATTTCTGTATGATGGCTGCTTCTGAAATCTTCAGTTTAAAAAGAAAACCTTCTACTAGTTTTCTAAATATCTTCGTAATCTTACTTCTTGGTTCCTTTTTGAAATTGCTAGTCAGATTAATGCCTTTACCACATACTCCATTATTTCTCTCATTTTTACCTCTCCTGAAATAGTCTGTAAATTTTTTAAAATGATATATGTAAATTTCTTTAATATAAAACGTGCAATTTTCTTCCTATTATAATGTACGTTCCCTATTTAACCTCATGTCAACTAAATCATTTTTTTACATGCCATAAAACTTCTTTTTTTAAAGTATTTAACACATACTTATATTGCTTTCACTATGGGCAAGTGAAGTTTTAAATTTCTTACAAGCATTAATGTGCTTATTACTCATATCAACCCCAAGAGGTAGGTATTTCTTAGAAGTACATATTTCACTCTGGGTATCTTGCTCTTATCTTTAATATTTTCTCTTGGGAGTAGGGGATTATTTGTTATATTTCTGAAATAGCTTTCATACTCTTTGATCACAGAAAATATGAATTTTACTCTTTTACTATTCTCTGCATTACCAAAATCAGAGTTCTGCATGAGGTTTACACTTAATATTTGATAAATACATATTGGATGTCATAGCCTCATGTTAAATTACAACAAAATTCCCTCCTTTTCCTTGAGAAAAAGATCTTTTGAACAACTTCAAAACTTACTTTTCCATTTTCAAAATATCTTGGCCAATGGTAGCTTGACATTATCCGTGTAAATCCATAAGGATGGGCAAGCATAAATCCAACTGCCATTTTATAAAGTCTGAAAGTCACAAAATATTATCATAGTAGAACAGAATTTTCTTACCATGATTGAAAGGTAGGCAAAAACACTAGAGAACTTTGTTTGCTACCTAGAGTCCCAGAATGTAAGAATAGATGCTCCACCAGCTCCATGTCCTCGTTGATTGTCATGGTTATCCACAAAGACAAGTGCTCGGTCAGAAGGCATGAAACTCCAACCTTCTCCCCAGTTCCTATTTAAAAAAATAATATATACATTTTTGTATTCCCTTACAATAACTTTAGAGTAACCTAAATGTACATCTCTTTCTGTATAGCATATTCATATTAAATTCTCTCTCTAATTAAATGTTTATTCTATAGGGGATATACACACACATACACACACACAATCTACAAATACAATCCATGTTTGCATATATGTATGGATTACTTGTATTCCATTCATGTTACAGCTATAGATCTTTGGTATAAAAAAGGGTCCTTTTAGAGGTTTCAGTATATTGTAATTTAGATGTACTTTAGAAGGGTCAACATCCATATCACATTATACAGAATGGCAACCTGGATTAAAATAGGCTTTCAATACTATATTGTTATAAACATTTCAATATTTAGAATTAATGAATTGATATATGTAAATTCTACAGTATGGTCACATTTTAGGTACTTTATAAATAGTATGATTATTTTAATAATAATCTGGATTTAAAAGATCATATGCAAACATTAGTCAAATCTAGTATACTAATATCATATGCAGATTAAAATGCCTTGATAATATTTTGGGTTTCTAGGCATACTTTCTTATGACTGACATTCCAAATACAAAAGATGATCAATTGGTGTTTGTGACACTATAACATTTAAATTAATAACTGACCCAACAGTTTCCTAAATAGGAAGGTACTGAGAAGATAACCCATATTGGGGTAATATGACTAATAGCCCTGTGAAATAATTCAAGGGAGAAATTGTATTTTATTTACTTTAAGTAACACATCTTCTCTCCGTTCCACTTGCGAATAACTGTGCCTAGTTTTGCTCCATACTTGAACTCTGTCACACGGCCATTTCCAAAGTACTCACTGTTTGTAATTGCCTCACCACCCAGATCAATTACCTAGTAGAAAGATAGGAAAAAATATCATTTTACATAAGAACTTTAAATTATTCTAACCAAAAATTAGTATTATATAGAAAATAGCTTTAAACTATTTGTTATTTGAAATACTCAGAATGGTTTTCCTTATACCAAAATTCTTCCTTGTTCTAATGAAATATATGGTACTATATTAAAAGAAACATAATGACAAGATGACCTGTTGCACTGTGAGGATGCTGACCTAATTTTTAGTCTTGCACATAAATGATAATAATAGGTCACATTAATTTGGCATTTACTATCTGACCAACAACATTTCTCAGCACTTAATAAATATTAACCCATTTAATTCTCTAAAGACACAACCATTATCTTAGCCCTTTTGTTCACATGAAATAACTGTTGAGCAGAGAGTTTAAATGATTTGCCTAAAAACTAACATAGCTAATGGTGGTACAGCCAAGATTTAAACTCAGATAGATCAGTCAAGACAACAACAACTATATGATTCTCAGTGTTCTCAGTCTCGGTAGAGATAGTAAATGGCACAGTGAAGTTTGTGAAGTTTGTAGCCTAAATAAATTCTCTGTACTTCCATAGAACCTATTGTGATAAAGAATTAGATGTACTGTATCTGAATAAAAGGAAACTAAAGAACACTGCTCTATACTGCTCTACATAAATGACTCAGCCATTAATGTATAGAAATTGCATATTTAATTAAATCTCCAATCAATTTTATAAAATATTTTATACACAAACATATATATTTATATTTGTAGATGTACCTCCTGGTAAATGAAAGGTCTACTTCCTTCAGGGAACCAACTTGTGTTTAGGTTATGCAACTTATCCCAAACTGCCTTCATGTCTCCAGGCCACATGTGCTTGGCAGCATCAATTCTGAAACCTGCCACACCAATGTCAATGAGATGGTTCATGTAGTTAGCAATAGTGGAACGCACGTAATCTTTCTCCAGGGCAAGATCAAGAAGACCAACCAGACGACAATCTCTGACCTGTTGAGGTGAAAAATTTGTGATCGGTTCATAAAATATCATCTTTCACCTGAGAATCCATTGGACATTCATTCACTTATTCATCAATAAATATTTCTATAGTTCCTTGTTTGCATTGGACACTTGGGATATTGACATTGTACTATGGACATATTTTTTAAATATTTTCTAGTATAAAATGGAGAATATAGGAAATAAAGTAGATAAGCTTTTTAATTGATTATGGAAAAATTTGTAAATATTGATTTGAGTTTCTTATTTTTAAGCAGTCAGACCTGGTAAGTTGGTTTCCTGAGGGGTCTAAATTAATATTTAAAATGGAATTCAATGTGCTGCATATCTATATTTAAAAGCATAGATAGCTCTTTATTCAGATCACTATTTTTAAAAAAATTACCTGATAAACATCCTTATAGTTCTCAATTTCTCTACCTCCAGTTTTACATTTGTCATCATTAAAATCCCAGGCAGAATAAGGAACTGCTGGAAAATTCCTATTTCCAGGGTCAAAGTAACTTCCACAAGTACTGCTTGTTCCTGCACTCCCACCACTACCAGTCATGTGATTAATTACAGCATCCACATAAATACGGACCTGAAAAACAAATTTTCTACTTCAGTTTGACTTATAGAAAGACAGAAAACTAAAGAATTATTTATTAAAGTTTACAGCATGTTAATTAAATTCCAAAATATTTCCTTGTTATTTTATAACTTATTTTCCTAAAATACCAAAGGTCGAGTATGATAGGAAACTAATGTGAACTGAAAACCTATGTCCATTCCAGACACGTGGTCAAATATTTATAGCAATGATACATTAAGAGACCCTGAAACCACCCGAAATATAAATAAATGCCAAGAGCTATTTGGGGAGGTAAAAATCAGTTGAGGCAGAAGAGATTATTGGTTTCTGAAATTTCAGTGGGTCACCAGGAGAAAGAAGCACTTAGCTTCTACTGTCTACTTAGTATCTGAAGAGAGGAAGGTGGCTATGAGTCTCTCATTTATACTCCTCATTATAATGAGAAAATAGCCACACAAAAGAGACAGCAAATACTTTAACTGGAATTTTCAATTCCTAACCAGAAAAGTGTTTCCAGGAAATGTGTATAGCTATAAATGTTAAAAGTTGATGCTTTGCTTTTATCAGTAAATTCTGCTTTAAACTTTAACTCATCTCTTCTTTAGTAGATAAATGGCACATACACAACAATTTACAAAAGTTGAACATAAAGCAACAGTTCATTTTGACTTATAATTTAAGTATGATATAAAATGAAATAATTTCAAATATGGAAAACTTTCTGCTCAAAAGGACCAAAAAAATAGAAGAGAGAAATTACTTTCCTATACAAAAAATTTAAAGGAAAATGAATTCACTTACACCAACATTGTTACATCTAGTCACCATGTTTCTGAATTCATCTTCATTTCCAGATCTTGTGCATAATTTATAGCTAACTGGTTGGTATCTTTCCCACCAGGGTCTAGAAGGGCTGTTAATTATAATATTTTCATTGGGTGGAGAGACCTATAAATAAAACAACATTAATAAGCATCAAATCATGGCTTACTTTATATCATTAGATGTTCTAGAAACTAATAATAACATAAAATTATTTTTGAATCCTTGTATATGCAACTATGTTTCTTTTTAACCACTTGAAAATATTAACAGCACACACTGGAAATTTCCTACTGAAAAAAGATATCAGAAACAACCTATAAAATTGCCAAAAATACTTAATTGTTTCTTCTGCAGAAAACTATTTTACTTAGAGTACTTATATATGAAGTATTACAAAATGGTGCTTCAGCTTGATAGACACTGATGAGAATACCATTTACTATAAACACAGTGAAGGCAGCAATTTATACTATAAACAACACCTACCTGAACACCACCAAATCCATATGGAGCTAAGTATCGCTCACATTCAAGAGCAATATCAACCCAGCGCCACTCAAACAGATGGACAATAGATGTCCGTCCTGTTTGAGTATTTGGTGAATATTGAGCCCAGCAGAACCCAATGGCTGAAAGCAACAGAAAGAACTTCATTTTGCTTTGAAGTTGTCAGTGTCCTTTTTAGAAACTATTTATACTCCTGTAAGAAACACATTTTACAAAGTAAATATTAGCATGAATAAATAGAGCACAAACTGTTTATTCATAATCTGAAAAGGATTATCAATAACAATAGTAACTCAACAGGTGAAAAACATACAAAAAGTGTCCCATAATAATAATCTAATTGGCCTTTTAGAACTAAATGATTTTTCTTATTGTGAGAGTACTAACCTTTTCAAACCTCTGGCTCTATATGTATATAAACAGTCCTTATTCACGTATTATTTAATTATGATTAGATTTCACTTCTGATATCCATTACTAACAAAATGAAAATAATCAGAGCCAACTGAATTGAACAGTCCAAATATTGCTTTAACTATCTAATTTCAAATGTTTGTAATATTTCCATTTAAAAAATTTAGCTGTTGTCCACCTCCAACCCAAATTTTTGGTTATTTAAATTTCTACATTAAGATTTTAAAAGCTTTTTGGAATTTAAATGCCCATGAATTGGAGAAACAGATTTTTTTATGTCTTCATCAAATCATGTGTTTAATATAGTGGCAATAGTAGTAAGATTTGTGGTGGTAGTGGGTGTTATTCTCTCCCCATAGCCAAATATCTCTTGCAACTAATAAAACACTAAATAAATGAATTCACATCCCTTCTCCTTCTTAATGTAAGTGATATCCTATGAAAGACAGTAATAATACAGGTGGGAAAAGTTTCATCCATGCAACAAGTATTGAGTGTCTGCTTTTTGCTAAGCACTGTGGATGAGGTACACGATAAAAAGATGAGTAAGACAGACAGGTTCCTGTTCTCAGAGAGCTGAGTGGAAGGGAAAGAAAACATGTTGCTGTAAAATAATAATAACAGTAATACTAACAGTGATGATAAAAATAATATCAGGCAGAAATATTAACTATTATGAAACAACAGGATAATACAATAGAGAGTGACTTCACCATGAGGGTATTTAAGACTGAGTAGTCAGGGAGGACATCCTTGAGGAAGTGACTTTATGCTATGATTTGAAGGAGTAGAAGGATCCAGTCATTAGAAGATCGGAGAAAGAACAATCTAGATAAAAAGCAAGAGCAATAGCCCAAGGAAGGAAAAAAATCTAAGAATATGCCAAACAATTATAAAAATGCAGTCAGCATGGTGAAAGCCAGTGTGATAAAGGAGAGAGTAAAATGAGATGAGGTCAGAGAGGTAGGCCAGATCATGTAGGAACTTGTAGAACACGAAGAAAGGGAGAGCCGCTGAGGCTATAGGAAGGGGAAATGGAAGACTGCAATATTTTAAAATAAAATCTATCTTGCTTCTAGGAAGAAATCAGATTATGGGAGGATAAGAGGAGAGAGAGAGACAGAGAGAGAGAAGTAAGTTAAAAAACTCACAGTGTCCCAGGAAAGAGGTGAGTGGTTTGAACTAGGGCATAGATAAGACACATTTCAGAGGTAAACAGCAATTGGTTTATGGATAGAGACGAAGGATGAGGAAAATAAAAATATTAAAGATGTAGGTATTTGGTTGTGATACCACTTATTAACATGAGGAAAAATGAGGAGATACCAGGTTTGGGGAAGGGCATAAAGAATGCTATGAATCTTAATTATTCCTTTATCAATCCTAATGTTCTCTATTAGTCCTTCCCCTAGCCAACCTTGTGAACACTATCCATGGCAAAACTATTGTCATCATCAATCATGCTCTCCTAATTTTCATTCTTACTTCTGTAATCCTAGTTCAAATTTTCATCACTGCTCTGTTTACTAATACATGTTTTCTAGTGTTTCTCTTTTCTCTTTGTCTTCTAATGCAACTGATACACTCCAAAAGTTTTAATCATTACTTTCCTGTTTCAAAGAAAATAAACAGACAAAAACCTCAATGGCTTTCAGGTGAAAAATCTGTTTTCTTCTCCCTGATTTTGAGTGTCCCCAATATACCTCTCATAATTTAACTCCCATGGTTCTCTCACACCTAGCTTACATTTCTAAAAGCACATAAGACAATGCCAATTATTTTTCTAGGTCCTGGGAATATCAGATGTGAAGTCTACCTTCAAGAAGCTTGGTCCAGAATGGTGGATATGAAAATACTTAATCAATTACAGTATATTTACAGTATAAATGAAATCTATTAATATTATAATGATTACTGAATGAATGACACTTCCCAGCAGTCATACATATGTGGATTCTCTTTCTATATAAACTTTCTACATAAGATTAGCTTGAAGTTCATTTTGTCCATTGGGATGCCAGCAAACAGGACACAAACAGAACTTTGATTATGATTTTCACAGGTAGCTTGATCTCTCAAAACTCGGAGCTCATTGATTGTGCTCTGACTATAACTGGGATGAAGGACCACATGAAGTCTAGCTGTCCCTAGCTATTCCAGCCATCTGAGTTGACACACTGGCTAAGAGAAGTTCAATGATGTGCCAGGGCTAAGACAGCAGAAAAACCACGTAGTCAACCCATAGAACTGTGAGACATGAGTTATTATTGTTATTCCACAATACAGCAGTGTCCTCCCTCCCCCAACTTATGAGTGGTTTCACTTTCTGCAGTTTTTTGCTTTCTGCAGTTTTAGTTACCTGTAGTCAACTGTGGTCCAAAAATATTACAATATTTAGAGAGAGAGAGAGAAACCACATTCACGTAACTTTAGTTACATTATATTGCTATAATTATTCTGTTTTATTATTGTTGCTAGTCTCTTACTGTGTATAATTTATAAATTTTGTTATAAATATTTATATATAGGAAAAAACATAGTATATATAGTTGGCCCTCCATATCTGCGGGTTCTGCATCCCTGGATTCAACCAACTGTGGATAGAAAATAGTCTAAAAAATGGATAATTGTGTCTCTACTGAAGATGTACAGACTTTTTCTTGTCATCATTCCCTAAACAATATGGTATAACAACTATTTACATAGCATTTACATTATATTAGGTGTTATAAGTAATCTAGAGATGATATGAAGTATACAGAAGGAAGTGCGTAGGTCATATGCAAATGCTACACAATTTTATATAAGCGACTTGAGCATCTGTGCATTTTGGTATCATGGATGTCCTGAAACCAATCCTTCATGGATACTGGAGAGGGGACTATATAGGGTTTGTACTATCTGTGTATTCAATCATCCACTCGGGGTCTTGGAACGTATCCCCCTCCAATAAGGGAGGATTACTGTAATAGATGTAAAAGATTTTGTGGAGACTGACTCTATAGGAAATGACAGTGAATCAGATATAAGAGAGTAATAGAGAAAAGACAGAGTCAAAGAAGGCTCCATGATTTAAAGTTTGGGTGAGTGTTAAGAATGGCAATGCCTTTACCACTAATAGTACAATCTACTGGCAGACTTGGTTTAGGGCAGGCGTCCTCAAACTACGGCCTGCGGGCCACATGTGGGTGTTTTCACCTGTTTGTTTTTTTACTTCAAAATAAGATATGTGCAGTGTGCATAGGAATTTGTTCATAGTTTTTTTAAATTATAGACTGGCCTTCTAACGGTCTGAGGGACCATGAACTGGCCCCCTGTTTAAAAAGTTTGAGGACCCCTGGTTTAGGGAAACTAAGGGACTAACATGGGGAGATACTGATTTTGAGGTACCACTTTTAAGCCAATTGGATATACAAAAACAATTTTAAAGATAGGAAGAATGAAGCAGAGATATTTGGGAATTTTTAACAAAGCAATTACAGTTTGAAAAATGGTACACAAAACACTTAATAACTGATTTAGTGCAGACAGAGAATAGAATAGATGCTATCCCTAAGCAACTATTGTGTATAGGCCAGTGCACACTGGCTGAATTATCAGGTCTGGAGAGCTGGATCCTTGAGAGTTGACAAAGTACCAAAAAAGTTGTTGAACACAAAGTCACAACTTTGAGCAAAGCCCCAGTCTACATAAATGATGGGACAAGGCAGTAGGAAGGAGGGGATAAAGAGATACCTTCAAAGAGGGAGAGAGTTTTGTTAGCAGAGAAAGCTGTTCAAAAAAAAATAAGAAAGGGAAATTTGCAAGGAGTATAAGTGACTACCTGGATGTAGACATGTATTAGAATCAGAATTGGAGAGAAGACTAGATAGTGGTTGACATAGGGCCGATGATACAACGTGAGAGAGAAAAGAGGCAACATTTGAGCTTCATACTTGACTCAAGGCTCCAAATGCTTAAATGTAATGGTTAAGGAACATGACTGTAGGGATTACACAAACTATAGTTTAAATGCTGAAATTTCTATTTGTCATCTGTGTGACCCTAGAAAGTAATCTCTCTAAGTTTATTTATGAACCACAAAAAGTAGTAAGTACTTCATAGAGTTGTTACCATGGTTAAACAGATAATGCAAATAAAGCTGTTATCCCAGTGTATGGATACAGTAGAGGTTCAATATATTTGGTTGCTGTAATGTTTTATTATTGTATTGTTATTGTTACTACTGGTCCTATCAAAACTGCCATAAACATACACTCTCATCCCACCATCACTCTATTATCACTTGGCCATTCTGTCTTTGCATTTCACTCTTCCAAACTTCTTATAACACTTTCTACTTCACAGACTTATTTTCATTTCTTCTAGAGGAATGGATAGAGATGAGAAGAACTAGCAATATGTTCCACCTACATTTTTTTCCACATTTCATTTCCTTTCTTCCCTCCCCACCAGCCCCTAAAGAATTTATGACAATTACACGTTGTTTTTGAAGTATACTTCTCATTATTGTCTCATCGGTTAACTCTGAACTGTTCTTTTAATAACAAATCAGTGTTTTCACAAAGTATTTAGGATGTTATTAAAATAAGGGATAACTTGCAGATATGTGGGGAATTTTGTTAGCATCCCAGGATAGGTGAAGTTATACAAACATATAATACGCTTCTACTAAGGGCCATACAGTGTCATACATTTTCTCACCTTAATGTTAATTTTCAACTTAAGCAAGCAATATGAAGAGTTAAAAACCCCATAGGAAAGGCATTAAAAGAACTAAAATATATTTTTATCTTGTGAAATACAATTCTCAAACAAATCCTTGATGTCTTTGGCCAAAAAAAAAACAAAAATAAGGATTTGAAATAGTTATTATGTCCATTTCCTAGAATAATTATCCCAAAAGACTTATCCTCAGAGTAGCTATCCATAGTTGTTAATATCAATGCTCTCTTGCTCATATTGCATATTTCCTGGATTGGTCTACAAAGAAATTCCCTTTACTCTAAAGCTTAAATGGTTACTATAATTGTCCAAATGACATACGTTGTGAATTCCTCTAAAAATGTGAAATAGAACATTTGATAATGTCCTAACAAAAAAAAGCAATAGTCTTTAAGGAGCATTTACAGATGAAGTTTCAATAAGACATATCCAATGTCAAGAAGAAGAAAACTCTGTTAACTCAAAATTATCCAGTTTCTCATGTTCTCAAAAGTATTTTTTAATCAATATTACATAAGAGGTATTTGTTATTTTATTTCATGCCCATAATATGACATGGTATTATACACGGAAGGCTCTAGTGTAAATTCAGGATTTCTCTGAACACATCAAGTACCATAAATTTGGTCATTTAGTTTAAAGTCTACTTAAATAGCACCAAAGTCATGACTTCAATAAAGAGCTCTATTAAGCCAAAAGTAGCAACCTCCAAAGAACTTGTGTCTTTCTGTAACTTCCTTTCTACCTATATATGTAACAGTATTTACAGAGTTTTCCCCCATCCAAGGTAGCCTCATATCAGTACCAGAGTGAACTTTTAACATGAAAGTGAATTATGATTGACCAAGAAAAGATAAATTATCTACTCTCCACATTCACAGTTCTTAGCCTAAATGTCTCATAATTAAATATCTTTATACCAAGTCATTTTGTAGAAATATCATTACAAATTTTAATAGAAATGCTTTAATCTCAAATCTATGCATGCTATTTTATGATTTACAGTTATCTCTAAATGCTTTGACTTTTAATTTTCTTTTCTATTTTCCCAGTTTTCAATATTCTAAAGCTTTATGTAGTAATATTACTATAGGACTTGGTAAAGTTAGTGGTTTTTCTTACTGAAAAAAAAAAGGCATAATTCCCCTGAATTTTACACTGAATTATGCAAAGTTTTCTTAAAACAGTAAACCTTTACCCTCCAACCCTCCCGTCAAAATAAATAAAAGAAAAAGAATGAAATAAAACTGACTCAAGACACGTCACATGTGAAGGTTAGAGAAAAGAGGCAAAGATAATCAAGTTTGCCTACCAGATCTCTGAAATCAGAGAAACCTTTTGGGCCAAGGCTAAGACACATTTCCAATATAAATAGCACATTTTGTACTGGAGGACACTGAAACATACGTTGCCAACAAGCCTAATATAGACTCTGAAACTTTGAACTATATCAAATCATATGACAGAAACCACTCATTTCAAGACAAAAGGCAGAGGTGGGGGACGACCAATATGATACTCCAAAAACACATTAAAATAACTTACCACTTTGACTTCTTTAAATCAGCAATCTTCCACATCCACAAATCAATGTTTTTCAATCATCAAGTAACAAAAAAATCTCAGAGTTCTGTTTTTGCTTTTTCTTCAGTTGGAAAAAAAATTGCTGGATTTAGGCTTTTATCGATTTTCTATAACCTCTTCCTGTCAATGTGCAGCCCTACAGACCTGTTCCAATTTTTCAATTCTAAGTTGTACAACTAGTCTGAGTTCTACGATGACATCAGATTAGTTACTACACTCCTATTTCCTAAGCAAACCATTGTCTTCCCTCCCTTGCTCAATTTGGTGCCCTGCACCTCTTCTTGTTACACTGTATCTCTAGGCTGTTTTGCTTTCTCTTTGTCTTCCTTTCTCTTTCTACAATTTTCTCTCCCAATCTCAACTAATATATTTTTTTTCTTGAATCACTTATATCGATATATAGAAAAAAATTTTTGCTAAAATAAGCTTAAAGATCAGATTAACATAGCACTGGGTCAAGCTAGTTAAATGGGACTAGAATGTAAATTAAGTCACTAAATCAAAAATTTTATTTTAAATCCATGCTTTACCATCTAATATGTGAACATTAGAAAAAACATTAAAGTCCATAGATTCACTTAAGTCTGTAGAAAATGAAGAAAGTATTATTGATAAACATCATAAAAATTTAAAAAACTACTAACAATATGTATTGTGTTACTTTCTATGCGTCAATTCCTTGCATTATCAATTTGATTCCACACACACTTATACGTTAGAAGATAGAATTATGATTATCCCCATTTTTAAAATGAGAAAAAATAGGCACTGAAAGATTAAGTAATAGGATTTGTCCATGGTCAAGTTGAAATAACTATTGGGACTGAAATTCAAAGCCAAGCAGTCTAACTGCACAATGAGCTCTTACCTACTACTCATTCTCCCTCATTGGGTTGTTATGATAATCAAATAAAACACTGTATGTGAAAATATTTAAAAATCTGAAAGTTCTGCTTAGCTAGTTATTATTATGTTTAGAAGATTATTCAAAAAATAATGGTAAGAATTATTCAAAAAATAATGGTAAGAATTATTCAAAAATTAATGGTAAGAATTATTCAAAAAATAATGCCTTGGGGGATTAAAAATATGAGAGCAATTTCAAAAATAAAAATAATGACTATAAACCGGAATGGCATAATCTCGAAGTGTTCTAAGGTCAGTTTATTGCATTTGGCAATGGTTACAGGCATTCACTTTGGACTTTGAAAATACGCATGGTATAATTTCAGTGTTAATCATTAACCAAATGGAAACAGTGCATACTTTCTACTGTGGTGAAGAGTAAAAAATAATAATAAAAATATAAGAATATGAAAAAAAAGAATGAGTGGGGCATTAAGAAAGTGGATTTAAACACATATATAACAATAATTACATTCAGTGTAAATGGAATATATGTTCTGTTAAAAGACAAGTATTTTCAAACATGATTTTAAAAAATGGGGATAGAAAAAGAGTAAAGATAAACAGTTAGAACACAATGAATCATGCAAATTCTAACCAAAGGAAAGCTAATGTAGCTTTATCAGTATTGGAGAAAATGAATCTAAGGCCAAATTAATGCCAAAAATAACATGGTTACACATTATAATTAAATATGTTTGACTCTGACTAGAAAATCAACAATTATAAATGTTTACTCCTCTCATAATTTAGGTTTCAGATAAAGCAAAAACTGGACAGAATACTAAGAAATAATAGCAAAATCTACAATTATAAAGAGAGATTCTAAACATACTGACCTCAGTAACTATTAGAACAAGCAGATTTGAACAGAAGTTTTCATTAACTTGACCAAATGGACATACAAAACCACACATTCTTTATACAATTGTCTAATACAGGGTCAGAAGGTGAGTCTTTTAAAGGATTGAAATGATATAGAATATGCTAATTGGACTAAGATCACATAGTAGGCTCTTGTTCACTGTATTTTATTTAGCCATTTTTTAATATAGTAAACATTTATTTCCAAAGATTTTATTGTTATGAGAAATGTTATGACCCTTTGTGTTCATGTGCTCTTGTACAAATGGGTGAATATATCTGTAGGCCAGAGAAGAGGAAATTAAAGCACATTAAATTTTAATGTTACACAAAATTGTCCATACATAGTCCAGTTTGTACTCTATCTTGTAGTGACACAGTTTATCATAGTACCTTTTACCACACTTTCACCACAAATTGATATTATCAAGCCTCTGATGTCTGGCTTTCTAATAGATATAAATGATTTATTTTAATTTGTATTTCCCAAATTACTAGAAAGGCTGAGAATCATTTCACTTTTGGAGGGGATTTTCTCTTGCGATTTACCTCTTCCTTTTCCCATCTATTTTTGTTTTTAGATTTTTTTTCTTCTTATGGAGTACTTAGAGTTCTTATGTTCTTGTTATTATTATATATTGAAAGTAAATTATTGGAATTTATCACTTGTTTTGTGAACAGCTTTTCCAGTGCAAATTAACGTAATCATGGATGTTGGTAAGAATTAGGGTAGTGCCAAAGGTATGCCTGCGCTATTTTTTTTTCTCACTACAGTCATGCTACACTTAATGGTAGGAATACATTCTGAGGAATGTGTGCTTAGGTGTTTCCATTATTGTAGAAATGTTAGAATGTACTTCTACAAACCTAGATGGTATACAGCCTATTGCTCCTAGGCTACAAGCCTGTACATAATGTTACTGTATTAAATACTGTAGGCAATTGTAACACGTTGTATTTGTATATATAAACATATCTAAACAAAGAAAAGGTACAGTAAAAATCAAGCACTATGGTCTTATGGGACTACCATCATGTATGTGGTGCATATCTGTATTTACCATTCAAAAGGTTTTGGTAATTTTTAAAGTAATTATTTAAGTAGTTATCCCTCATGTCTCAGTATCCATGGGGCATTGATTCCAGGACTCACTGAAGATACCAAAATCCACAGATACTCAAGTCCTTTAGATAAAGTAGTATTTACACATAATCTATGCACATCCTCCTGTATACTTTAAATCTGTGATCCGCAACTGGTCCACTGCCTGGTAGGGACTGGGACATAGAACTCTGCTCCCCCACCTCACTGCCTGTCTATGGAAAAATTATGTTCCATGAAACCCGTCCCTCGTGCCAAAAAGGTTGTGGATCACTGCAAATCATCTCTAGATTACTTGTAACACCTAAGGCAATGCAAATGCTATGTAAATAGTGGTTATACTGTGTTGTTTAGGAAATAAGTACACAAAAAAGTCTATACATGTTCAGTACAAATGCAATCATCCTTTTTTCCCTTCTGGTATCATCAATCCATAGTTGGTTGAAACCACAGCTGCAGAACCCATGGATAGGGAGAGCTGACAGTAGATGCTACTTGGTTCATCCTTAGATATCATTTAATAAAATAAGATTAGATTTAGATAAGTGAGTGAGCAAGGAAGGAAGGAAGGAAAGATGCAAGGAAGGGAGAAAGGGAGGGAAAGAGGGAGGAAATTGAACAATTTATTTATTTTTTTGATTTATTTTTTTTTTTGAGACAGAGTCTCGCTTTGTTTTCCAGGCTAGAGTGAGTGCCGTGGCGTCAGCCTAGCTCACAGCAACCTCAAACTCCTGGGCTAGAGTGATCCTTCTGCCTCAGCCTCCCGAGTAGCTGGGACTACAGGCATGCGCCACTATGCCCGGCTAATTTTATATATATATATATCAGTTGGCCAATTAATTTCTTTCTATTTATAGTAGAGACGGGGTCTCGCTCTTGCTCAGGCTGGTTTTGAACTCCTGACCTTGAGCAATCCGCCCGCCTCGGCCTCCCAAGAGCTAGGATTACAGGCTAGCTACAGCGCCCGGCCTGAACAATTTATTAAAGACAGATTTTTTTCTAAAGTTAAATTTCTTTACTTTTCATATTAGAATATCTTTTCACACAATTTTTGGAAATTTTACTGGTTACTGGGCCCAGGGTCTCTTTCCTGATTCTTTTTCAATGCTTGGTGAATTTTTTTTCTTTTAAGATTTCCTACTAGCTTTTATGTGAATGCTGTATCTCTAATACAATTTGTTTTCAGGCAATGTCAGGATAGAATATTTAGTAGCTTAAGTACTTGGGGTAAGAACTCTCTATTACTCGTAACACCTGTCAGTTCTAACTCTTAAGTGGCTGACTCATGGGGTTAGTTCTCATCTCTACTAGACGATCCTATTGAGGTCACTATTCTTTTGTATCCATCACTAAGTGAATTAAATGTAATGGAACATTTTACAGTTGACACATTAAAGAAATTTTCATTACTCACAAAAGGAAGTGCTATTTTCTTATAAGGTGGTAAAGTTAAAATAATTACTATAAGCACTCAGCACAGTTCCCTTTGAGATTTAAAAATCCACTTAGATAATCCTTTCAATACCCTAGGTTCTTAATTTCTTGAATTCCTATCACCTCACCGTTACCCTACTCCCATCTCCACATCCTAAAACTCATAAGCATTAAGTACAATACTCTCTCTAATATCCCAGTTTCAGTCACCCTATTCTTAGTTCAACCTCTCAAATTTCTTGCTCCTACCTCAAGTAATCTGTAATCTACAAATCGATCATACCATTTTCTACTGTGTCTCTCCCTTTTTTTATTTTTTCACTTTACTCCTTACCCAGATTACTTTCCATGTCCCTCCTTTATAATCATTCTCTTGAGTATATTAACACCTTAGCTCATCTCTGACTTTGTGGTATTCACCTAGGGAAACCTCAATTTTAGTTAAATTTAACTCTGTGCCTACTCAGTGAGGGCAAATATGCTAAACTGGAAAAAAACCACAAAATCACACTGACTGATCTCACTTAAATTATCAACTACAGACTGCAAGTCAAAGTAAGTACTTAGGTACTACATAGCATTTCTTCTAAGGATATGCTTATGCTCCTACTTTTCTAGTGTCTATTTTACTTCTTTTCTTTCCTCAATCCTTCATGATTTCTTCCCTCTTCATGGCCTTGCTTCCTATTTCACTGAAAAAATATAATAAAACTTTGACATGCTCCTACTATCTAACCAACTACAAACATCTAGACCTACATAATCTGTCCTTCATCCTACTGCAACTAATGAGCTACTGTTGTGCCTATATTTAAAACTGAATTTTCTATTTACAAACCAGATATACGGCTCCAGCAATATTCCTCTCTTTCTTGCACCATCTTTTCTCTTCGATGGATCAGTCCCATTAGTATACAAACCTGCTATATCTTCAATCTTCAAAAACAAACAAACACAACTTTTTTATACTAGTCCATGAACAATACATTTCTCACATGCCCTTGAAAAGCAAGACACTTAGGAGTTGTTTTCCATTCTCACTATAGTACATTCCTCTCTATCATTCTCTTATA